TGATGAAAGTAGGAAAGGCAAGAAAAGCCTTTCTCCTATCACATTTAGATGGAGATTTAGGATAAAGCATAATAATAGACTATATTACTTATATTCCTAGTGAGTAGGTATTGGATTTATTAATAGATTATGAATAAGAGTTATACTCACCTAAAATCAGATAAAGTTATGTTGTCGTGACTCGCCTTTGAACGCCAACCTGGATTTCAAGTTACTGGCACCAGTAATAGTGTGGTGCAGTGGTAGCATGACAGCATCCGGGTTCGATTCCCGTTGTGGTTGGTGATAAGACTCAGTCCACAATTGAGTGAATCACCTTTTGGAGGATATGGCCAAAGGAAATTCAATTGCATCGTGCAGCGAAAAAGGGAGAACAACGGTCAGTTCGACAAATGTTGATTTTCAGAATTAGTTTTTTTTACAGAAATAGAGCAATGGAGGAACTTATGAATGAGCCATTTATCAGAATCAAACTCGCCCAAATAACCTGAAAAACTGTTGCCAATTGTGGGCCAGAGGCCATAGTTCGGCCATGGACTAGGCAGAATGTGTCTTTAATCTCAGGTCTTTCAAGAGCTTATCAATCGCTTGAAGCCAATTTTATAAACCCAATACACACTCCTCCTCCTCTTTCTTCATATTCTTCCTTTCTCCTCTACACTCCTCCGTTTGTCTTCCTCCTTATTCTTATCGAATTATTGCACCCTTTCTCTTATTTTTAGTATCCTCCATTTCAAAAAAAAACTTTATGGCTTCTTTCTATTCGGCATGCTTTCTCTTCCATTTACCAACTTCACGGAATTGCTTGTTATATCCATTTTTGTGTCTCATGCTTTTACTTTTTTATACTCGCTCATCATCCTATCTAGCTTATCATCGCTTTCATTGTTGTAGAATAGTCCTTAATTCCATTTCCTCCACTGCTACTAGAATCCTGCAAACCGCATAGTCACACAAAAGGATATCTCAACAACAACATTCTGCTCTCATTCTCCAAATTGTTTTCTTCTGCAATGTCTCAACAAGCCAACTAAGACTAGCGTGAACTTTGTGCATTATTCAATGCAGGCCTCGGAGCAACTTGACACTCTTAGAACTGACTAAGTCTCGCACTTCTGTCCATCTTCTTTGCCCTGTTCGCATATTTATTCCTTTCCTATTTTCGGCACTCTTGCTTGCTTCACCAACTTTTTTATTTCCTTTCCCTTTCCTTTTATTTAGGTTAACATTGAACCCTTTACCCTTTTCAATTCCCTCCTATTCGCGATCTGCTCTCTTCTTCAGCAACTATGATCACTCATCATACATATTCACTCTCAGCTACTGGTTATGCAGCTTGATGGTAGTCTGTATGTCTTTAATGCTACACAAAGTGACCAACAAGCCTTGAACCCTTGCTTAAAGACTGAAAGAAGCCAGTTATAAACCGATGCTTAGGATACAAGCCATATCAAAATGTATCGGTGAACGTACTACTTAATGGGTAGTGAGTAGGTCTGCTCCTTAAATCGTGGAAAAATTCAACCATATATCCAACATCATTTTATAAAACCTGAGATAACTAAGACTCTTAGAAATGCAATTCTTGTCATTGCTATAGTCTGGACAGATCAACTGTCAGGGCGAATGGCACCTCAATATGAAAGTGAGACTTCTTATTTTTCTTCACTTTGTTCTCCCTTTCCTTAATCTCTCTTCTCTAACTTTGTCCTAATTTTCGCTTGTTTTCTTTCAATTGCCAAGCCTTTTATTCATTTCTCTTTCCCTATTGTAGATGACATATACTAGTTGGCCCATCTTTTTCCATCAATTGCATATATAACTTAAACATATTTTCACGTCTAGTCCTCACCCACTTCATTTCATTTAATATCAACTGTAAATGTTCCT